TCAGGAGGCTGAGGCAGGAGAATCGCTTGAACCTGGGAGGCAGAGGTTGCAATGAGCTGAGATCATGCCACTGCACTCGAACATGGGGAACATGGGCAACAGAGCGAGAGTCCATCTCAAAAACAAAAACAAACAAAAAACTGTTAAAAGTGAGTGCCTGGCCGGGCGCGGTGGCTCAAGCCTGTAATCCCAGCACTTTGGGAGGCCGAGGCGGGCGGATCACAAGGTCAGGAGATCGAGACCATCCTGGCAAACACGGCGAAACCCCGTCTCTACTAAGAAAATACAAAAAAAAACTAGCCGGGCGAGGTGGCGGGCGCCTGTAGTCCCAGCTACTCAGGAGGCTGAGGCAGGAGAATGGCGCGAACCCGGGAGGCGGAGCTTGCAGTAAGCCGAGATCGCCCCACCGTACTCCAGCCTGGGCGACAGAGCGAGACTCCGTCTCAAAAAAAAAAAAAAGATTTTGACAAAACCATATCCCACCCTTGTAGATGGACCCTATCATAACCCAAAAGAGCCATGCAATGTGCTTCTCCTATGCTATATACTGAATGTTTGTGCCCTCCAAAATTTCTGTGTTGAAACTTAATCCCCAATGTGACAGTATTTGCAGTTGGGGCCTCTGTGTGGTGATTAGGTCTTCAGGGTGGAGTGCCTTTTTTACTTTTTTGTTTTGTTTTCTTCTGTTTCCTTGAGACAGAGTCTTGCTCTGTTGCCTAGGCTGGAGTGCAGTGGCATGATCTCAGCTGACTGCAATCTCTGCCTCCCGGGCTCAAGTGATATCCGGCTAATTTTTGTACCTTTAGTAGAGACGGGGCTTCACCATGTTGGCTGGGCCGGTCTCCAACTCCTGACCTCAGGTGATCCTCCCGCCTCGGTATCCCAAAGTGCTGGGATTACAGTATGAGGCACTCTGCCTGGCCACCCTTTTAAATTATTATTATTATTTTTGAGATGGAGTCTCACTCTGTCGCCCAGGCTGGCGTGATCTCGGCTCACTGCAACCTCCACCTCCCAGGTTCAAGCAATTCTCCTGCCTCAGCCTCCCAAGTAGCTGGGATTACAGGCATGCGCCACCATGCCCAGCTAATTGTGTGTTTTTAGTAGAGATGGGGTTTTTCCATGTTGGTCAGGCTGGTCTCGAACTCCCAACCTCAGGTGATCTGCCCACCTCGACCTCCCAAAGTACTGGGGTTACAGGGGTAAGCCACCGCACTCAGCCTGCCTTAATTTTTTTTTACTGTAGGGTCTTGCTTTGTTGCCCAGGCTGGCATGCAGTGGTGCAATCATGGCTCACTGCAACCTCGCCCTCCTGGACTCAAGCGATCCTCCCCCTCAACCTCCCGAGTAGCTGGGACCACAGGTCAGGAGTTCGAGACCGGCCTGGCCAACAGGCCTGCCTTAGCCTCCCAAAGTGCTGGGATTACAGGCGTGAGCCACCGTGCCTGGCCCCGAGTTTTCATTAAGTGAACTCATATCGCAGGAAGAAAGACTGAAGTCTGTTAACACACTGAACAGACTTTTGTCACAAACTATTGTCTACTCTGTAGGCCCAACAGAGTTTTGTCCCAGCCCATTCAAAGTTCTACAAACCCATTTAATTCCCTTAAAAATCATTTACTGCTCACACCTATAATCCCAGCACTTTGGGAGGCTGAGGCAGGTGGATCACGAGGTCAGGAGTTCGAGACCAGCCTGGCAAATATGGTGAAACCCCATCTCTACTAAAACCCTCTCTCTACAAAAAACTAGCTGGGCATATGGTGGCGCGTGGCACTGAGTCCCAGCTATTTGGGAGGCTGAGACAGAAGAATCGCTTGAACCTGGGAGGTAGAGGTTGCAGTGAGCCAAGATCGTGCCACTGCACTCCAGCCTGGGCGACAGAGAGACTCCGTCTCAAAATAAATAAATAAATAAATAAAAATCATTTACTACCTCCCTGAAATCACCCACACTTCCTATCTTCCTTTCCCCTAAGAAGGGTATATGACATTCTCTACCCCATTGCATAGTGGGGTAATTACTTTGTGATTCTCCCCTGTGCACATTAATAAATGTGTATGCCTTTTCTCCTATTAAAATCCCTTTTGTTTTCCCTTGGACCCTACATCATAAATGTGCCTAAAGAACTCTTCTCATTATAAAAAAAAGAAAAAAAAAAAGAGAGAAGAAACTATCAGGGAATTTTCCTTGCTGCTTTGTACTCTATTTGTTATAGATAAGACCAAACAGAGAATTTGGGTAGCCAGAGTTTGTATATTGAATGAGTCTGAGTTTTTGTGGCCCAAAATGCAGGCAGTCTGTTTTAAAGGAAAGAATCTTAATAGTGATTGATATGATAATCTGATAGCTGGGAAAGCTCATATGATTTTTCTCTTAATTTATACTCCTTCTACAATGCTGATATCTATATTTTGTATAGGAGATTTATGTGAGCTGGGCATTGTGGCTCATGCCTGTAATCCCAGCACTTTGCGAGGCCAAGGCAGAAGGTTCACTTTAAGTCGGGGGTTTGAGAGCAGCCTGGGCAACACAGCAAGAGCCCGTTTCTACAAAAAATTTAAAAATTAGCTAGGCGTGGTAGCATGAGCCTGTAGTCCTATAGCTACTAGGGATACTAAGGTGGGAGAATCACCTGAGTCTGGGAAATTGAAGCTGCCATGAGCCATGATTGTGCCACTGTACTTCAATCTGGGTGACATAGTGAGATCCTATCTCAAAAAAAAGATCCTAACATAATTAGGAGGAAACTATCCCTTCTGTCTCCATTATCAGTTAGTAAACAGCAGAGACGCAGAAGACAGGTATAGTCCATTTCCCTCCTCATTCCATTAAAACAGTAGGTGATTTTTGTTTGTTTGTTTGTTTGTTTTGAGACAGAGTCTTGCTCTGTCACCCAGGCTGGAATGCTGTGACTCAATCTCGGCTCACTGCAATCTCCGCCTCCCAGGTTCAAGAGATTCTCCTGCCTCAGCCTCCTGAGTAACTGGGATTACAGGCGCATGCCACCATGCCCAGCTAATTTTTGTATTTTTAGTAGAGATGGGGTTTCACCATGTTGGCCAGGGTGGTCTCTATCTCTTGACCTCATGATCCTCTCGCCTTGGCCTCCCAAAGTGCTGGGAATACAGGCGTGAGCCACCACACCCAGCAAGGTCATTTTTTTTAAAAAGGGAAAATTTAAAGTATAATACAAGAGGCTCCTATTCATCCATTGTCCAAGGTTTTTCAAATATGAGCTAATGAATACTTTTAGTTCTTTCAATTCCTTCCCTGCCTTTGCACATTGCATTTTTGCCCTGAGCCAGCTGCATGAAGTTATGTGCTGCTCTTGTGTGTGATAACTATGTTCACCCTTCAGTATATACTACATAATCTCATCTCCTTACAAGAAGCCTGTAAGATAAGTATTATGGCTACATTTCCTAGAACCAAAAGAGTGAGACTGAGAGAGGTAAATGACTCTACAGCAAAGAACTGGTTGGAATCAGGTCTGATGAAGCCCGTGCATTTTACAGATATAACTATAGAGGCATTAAGTCAAATGAAAACACCTTTAACATTAAAAACCACTCTAGGGGCTGGGCACAGTGGCTCACACTTGCAATCCCACCACTTTGGGAGGCTGAAGCAGACAGATCACCAGAGCCCAGGTGATCTGTCTGCTTCAGACAACATGGCGAGACCCCATCTCTACAAAATAAAAGTAAAGGCCAGGCATGGCGGTGCTCACCTGTAGTCCCAAGTACTTGTGTGGCTGAGGTGGGAGGATTGCTTGCGCCTGGCAAGTTGAGGTTGCAGTGAGCCGTGATCGCACCACGGCACTCCAGCCTGGGTGACAGAGTGAGAACTTGTCTCAAAAATAATAATAACAAGATGAAAACCCTAATTGCCTTTACTTTGACGGCAAAACTCTAAGCATAAAATCTAAGCATATTATGTGCTTCTATAGTGTTTTTGTGTATTTTCAAAAATATACTTTTGCCAATGCAAATTCAGACATTGCCTCTGCAGTATATAATAACCCTAGGCTGGATGTGGTGTCTCATGTCTGTAATCCCAGTGCTTTGGGAGGCAGAAGCATCACTTAAGGCCAGGAGTTGGAGACCAGCCTGGGCAACATAACCTTGTCTCTACAAAAAATAATTAGCCAGGCGTGGTGGCACACACCTGCAATTCCAGCTACTTGGGACCCCAAGAGTTTAGGCTGCAGTTAGCAATGATGGTGCCACCATACTCCAGCCCGTGGATGACACAGTGAGACCCTATCTCAAAAAAAAAAAAAAAAGGATAACTATGCTTTTTAAAAAAATTTTCTTTGACTCAATGTGAGAACCAAATCGTAAGAACATTTGGTTGCAGATGTTATGGGTCACCTTGTGTTAATTAAAATTTTTAGGCCAGGAACAGTGGCTCATGCCTGTAATCCCAGCACTTTGGGAGGCCAAGGCGGGCAGATCACGAGGTCAGGAGTTTGAGACCAGCCTGACCAACATGATGAAACCCTGTCTCTACTAAAAATACAAAAATTAGCCGGGCATGGTGACACGCACCTGTAGTCCCAGCTATTACAGCTACAGGAGGCTGAGGCATGAGAATCACTTGAACCTGGTAGGTGGAGGTTGCAGTGACCCACGACTGCACCACTACACTCCAGCCTGGGTGACAGAGCAAGACTCCGTCTCAAAAAAAAAAAAAAAATTTTATTTTTTGAATAGGGAATACTTTCATGTGTTTCAGACTAAGAAATTGATTTTATACGTATTTATAATTATATATATATATACACACACGTATGCAGTAAAGTTTCATTTTTACTTGTCCTTCAGTCACCATTTCATTTCCTCTTACACACTAACGTTTTCAGTTTCTTATTTATCCTTCCAGTTATTTTATGGACATACCAGTAAATATACACATCTATTAATATATCCAGTATTTTCTCCATCTCTTTTTTGCACAACCCTTTAAATATATTTAAAATAAAACAGAACAACAAATTTTTGGTAAACAAAATTTAATACAACCATATAGTCAAGTAATAATGGTTAAAAGACATTTTATTAGATACAACTTTTAAAAAATTAAACTATGCAAGAAGTATATTTAAACAACACATGTAAGTATTCACGTGCTACAACTTAACTAAGAACAATGAAATACAAAGCATTCTTTTCACTATGAAGACTCTGGAGCCTCTAATTGAAAGCAAATGACCTTAGGTCTATACTAGTTATAAAGCAGATTATACTTTTGTTCAACTCTAAAATTGTATTGTCTTAGAGCTCCAACAACTCTTAATAAAAATTTAAATAAAGAAACCATGGGGGAGGAGTGATAGGGAGGGAAGAGTAAGTGCTTTTTCAAGAAAGTTAAATGAAAAAGCCTGAAGTGGGAAAAAATTGTACATAAGTATGGAACAAAAATAAGTATACTTTTTTGACATTCGATGTAGATACTGCAAATGAATTTACACGGGTTTAATCAATGTAAGATAGATATTTGTCTGAATATTTTAAAAAGCACCTAGGTATCAAAAAATAAAAACAAAAAATATAATGAAACTCCAAACATCCAACAATCTCCCTTAACATTCTCATTCTGCCAAGCAACCACACGTTGGTGCTTATTACACAATTTAAGAAGGGGAAGTTTATTTATTCTATAGGAAACAAATATGAACCTTATCTAAGGTAAGCTTCATTTAGATTGAAAAAAAAGTTGAAATAGCACTAGAGAACTTAAGGCACATAAACAAATTCAGGTGCAGTTATTTTGAAACCATTAAAACAAATTCTTTTCTTTGGAACAATATATAAAATAAGTTATGAATGTTGCTGTTTTTAAAAAATTTATGATGATAACCTTCAGCACTAGGAAAATTTAATATCTAAGGCAATCACACAAATGTAAAACGTTCATATAAAACATTAAAAAATGTCTAAAGTGTCTCTGGAATTATTCATTCACACTCCTGGCTCAAATGGTTTCTGGTGCCTAGCATTAGATGTGACAATAATGATAGCTAGCTAGTCAAACCTACTGCCTTAAAGATCAACCAATTCGCTCCATTCTGGTTACTTGGCATGGTGAATTTATTTAACTAAAAAGAATAATGGGGTGAGGTGATGTAAACCTGGTTTTCAATAAGATGCACAACAAATTCTAATAAGGCCAAAACTCTGTTGAGGTTAACTGGTGTCTTGAGTTTACTAAAATAAAGGCAGTCCATAGGAAGCCTTGAAGAGCCATTATCTTACCACTTGGCACCACCTAAACACCAAGCCCTTCTCTCTGAAAATACAGGCCGGGCGTGGTGGCTCAAGCCTGTAATCTCAGCACTTTGGGAGGCCGAGGTGGGCGGATCACGTGGTCAGGAGTGATCCATCTCTACTAAACCCCGTCTCTACTAAAAATACAAAAAAATTAGCCGGATGTGGTGGCATGCATCTGTAGTCTCAGCTACTCGAGAGGCTGAGGCAGAATCCCTTGAACCCGGGAGGTGGAGGTTGCAGTCAGCTGAGATCGCACCACTGCACTCCAGCCTGGGTGACAGAGCAAGACTCCGTCCCCCCGCCCCCCAAAAAAGAAAATACAGTTTGAAGTAAATGTCTTTTCCACATATAAATCTCAAGACATAAAAGGCACACACAATTCAACTCCTCTCTTTTCATATATGGGTTCTCACAGCAATTTAAAAAATCTATTGCCATATCCAGACAACAGGAAAAAACAAAAACAAAAACAAAAACAAAACATACCTGGTTTGCTTATTGACAAAAGTGGTGTAATTGAACCTTTGTCTTTCCTGAGTTTCAAAAAGGCTATTTGACAGTAGAGATACATAAACAATTCATATTCACTAAGATAAAATGTATCAGTCCACAAAACATTTTCATCTTTTTAAATATAAAAGAATCAATGTTCAACCACCACCATGTGTGAAGCCCCTTTTTCCAAATTAAACTTACTCTAGAATCATGAATTGAAGATTATTCAGTTATGGCACTTTACACCCCAAACAAGCAAAAGTAACAAGTTAATACCCTCCCTGAGTATTTACATCATCTTATCACCTGGTTTAAATGGAGTAAATACCTATATTTCAATCATCTAGGAAATAAAAAGGTTACTGAAGATCCAATACGCTAGTATTTCATACCTGTGCAGTAAAGTCAGTGGGAAGATTACAGTAGAAAAGGAGGAGGTTCTACTGTTGTAAAAATTAGACCACTTTTGTAGCTGACTCACATAGAGGAAAAACAGAAAAGGATTAAAGTTCATTAAAAACAAACAAACCTGTACTTTTCTGTTCTACAAAGCATACCTTTGAATTCCCTTTCCAACTGAGGTATCACAGCTGGGTTTAGCAAACTCATCTCTTCTGACCTTGTAAAACTAAATTGTCATAAAGATTCTGATTATTCACAAGTCATCATTACTAATACTCATCATGTACTTTCAAATGTAAAAAGTTGTAGAAATGCCCAAATAAAAAAATCTTCCAGAATCGAATTTAGCATGGTCAACTAATTTTTACTTTATATGCTTTTTTTCTGATCATCGCACACTGCTAAAATCTGTGGTGTTTGGTATATATGTGTGTATACAACCATACTATCTACATACATACACATGTACATATATAGATTCCAAACCAAAGGTTTATATGAGCATCACCTATCAAAAGAAAAATCTTTTGATTTTTGATAGGTGATGAGAGAATGAATACAATCTGACACCAATTTGGCTGATATATCCCTTTTGGTATAGTAATTCTACTCTAAAATTCTTGTTTATTTTATCAAGTCTAATGCTATTACTGATCAAGAATTAGTAAAGGAAGATAAATATTAAAAAATGAAAATATAAGTTGGATAACTTTAAAATAGTTATTTAAATTTTCTAAGATTCAACGTAAGTTCTTGGTGGCCTTCAATATAAATTTTAACTACTTAATTTATGTAGTTTTAAATTATGTAAAGAAAAAATTAATATTGGTATGAGGTCTGTGCTTTAAAAAATCTGTTTTTCAGGATTTCATTTCAAATTTACTATAATAAACACATGGATATTAAAATAAATGTATAACAAAATAAAAGTAAATAGTTAATACTTTTTACAATAGACAAAAATACTGGAATACAAAGTTATCTTGAGAAAGTCTTTTTTTATGTGAAGTCCTGTATTCATGAAATGGACATGATCTTACAAATACACATGAAAATAACAACTATCATTTGTAGAATCCCCATTTACAAAATACTTTTTCACACATTATCTCATTTACTGTAAAGAATTTCTGATCTAAATAATTCTATTATCTATAAGAGTATAATGCAGATGTTTACTCTAAAATTAAAGTACAAGTATCCAAACTGTACCTACATTCTTTCAACTAAGATGATAGAAAATTGTTTTCTGAATTGCTGTTACCACAAAATGGTATTTTAAAATTATGATTTGAAAAATAAAAATTCCCTAACAATTTTTAAGTTTTTTAGAGTTTTCCTCAGAATGTAGATTCTAGCTAAGCATTAAAGTTTAAAAAATGTCTATTTGAAATTTCTGTATCATTCTAAGATGAGAAAACAATGTAGCTTACCAATGTCAGGCTTTTTATTTCAAACTTGGTTTTAACAGAAATCTGGTGACACTCTAATTACATATTTGCATCATCCCTTCTGTCACAAGAAATATACAAATTATAATGTGAAAGACAACAGTGACTGGAAGTTAACCTACAGCAGGCTACCTAGAACATCCCTAAATGTTGTAAATTATATCCATCCACGCGGAATCACAATAATCACTTATGCTGTAGTTCCTGCCATATCCATCTATTTGCATTAGAAAAAAAATTCACATTCCTCTCTGAAAACTGATAAGCTTTATAAAGTGGAGTTGAAAAATCTAGACAAAAGCAGTCTGTCTACTGAAGCTTGAAAATGCTGATTAGTATTTTACACAATGGGGGCCAAATGAAAGACTTATCTTAAAGATGGGAACTACTGCTAAGTTTTTTCAGATAACTAATTTTAAAAGAAAAATGGACCCACTGAGATAGGTGGTCCCTGCTTTATCCTATTAAAGGTACCGTAACAGTAGAGCCTCTCAGGAATTTTAGCTGTTCACTAGAAGTTAGGATAATCAAGGAAGAGGTCCTCACCCAAAGCACCATACTAATGAGGTCAAACCCTACTGGGCTAGGGAAGAAAACCTATCCCTATTTTTCTTTTTCTTTTCTCTTGAGACAGAGTCTCACCCCGTTGCCCAGGCTAGAGTGTGGTGTGCGTTCATAGCTCACTGCAGCCTCAAACTCCTGGGCTCGAGCAATCCTCCTGCCCCAGCCTCCTGAGTAGCTGGGAGTACAGGTGTGAGTCACTGTGCCTGGCTGTCTGTCTCTGGTTTTCACAAGACAATATTGCAAAATGGGTTTCAACTGCTTTATCAAGTTAAGAAAAGAAACTTTCTTAGAAGATTGAAGAGATGATGCATAAAAACTTTGAGAGCCATAGTGGGTCATTTTTCCTTCAATGGCCATTCCATTTTTCTCTTAGGAATTAACTTGTCATTTTAATCCCCTCTGTAGGGGCACTTATTTTTCTATCTCCTACCCAATTTCCCCCTAAAAACATGTTTAATGTAAGACAGCAATTCTAAGAATAAAGTCACAATAGTTCAGTATTTTATGATACCTGAATTGTCATTACATTTTTATCAATTACAGAAAAAAACTCTTCAATAAAATTAATCAATCTGGATATACTTTGTTAACAACAAAGGTTTTTAAAACTGATTTTTTCTCCTAGAATGCATTCTAAGCATTAACTTCTTCAACCTAAATGATGCCTCAAGTCATGCAATTTTCTCTACATATATGACAAAATAAGGAATATACATACAGATAAACATACATAATAAGTGAAGACACCATTCACACGTTCCTAAAAGGTCTGCAGACAGACATTTCCTAATTCACATAGGCTTCTTACAAATACTTACAAAGGTACACTCCTCAAAGGCCAAGTAACAACCACCATTACCTTTAACAAAAAAGTTTTTTTTCAGTTATAGGAAAGGCTTTATTACAGTTTGAAAGATTGATATTTTGAGGAGAAAGGCACCAAATTATTATTTTTACTACTTTTTGCATATGGCACAAAGGAGATATGTGAAGTTCCCACTCTAGAGTTTTTAAAACCTCCCATCTTGGATTGGTGTGGCTTCTTCGGTGAGGTATCCTGGCTTCAGAGTTTAAAACATTTCTCATTGTATCTATGAATAGTCACACAGCCATGATAGGACACTGGCCTGGGCATTGCAGCTACCCCTGTGATGATACTTGTTGCAGGATCATAACAGAGAATAGTGTCTGTGGCTTCTCCATTTTCCCGTCTTCCACCCAGGATATATATTTTACCATTACACACAGACATACCACAGTTTTCCTGTTTAACCAAATACATAAACAAAACATTAACCATTGAAGATAAAGGATTTGGTAACAAACAGAAAAGCAAAATAATGCTTTAACACAGTCAAAAAAAGGGAGACATGATATAAGCTAAGGTTCTTTGGCCCAACTCTGTTGTGTGTGTGAGTGCTGGATAAGTTTGCATGAATGAAATGAATGTCAAGATAGATGTTATGTCAGTTGTAGCCATAATAAATAATGAGATCATGTCCTTTGTAGGGATGTGGATGGAGCTGGAGGCCATCATCCTTAGCAAACTAACACAGGAACAGAAAACCAAATACTGCATGTTCTCACTTATAAGTGGGAGCCAAATGATGAGAATACAGGGACACATGGAGGGGAACAAAATACACTAGGGCCTTTCGGAGGGTGGAGGGTGGAGGGTTGAGGGAGGAAGAGGATCAGGAAAATAACTAATGTGTACCAGGGCTTAATAACTGGGTGATGAAACAATCTGTACAACAAACCCCCATGACACAGTGTATCTATGTAACAAACCTGCACTTGTGCCCCTGAACTTAAAATAAAAGTTTAAAAAAAAAAAAAGGATTTTATGTTAGTAATTGGGGCCAAGATGTGGGAGGTAGGTTGTGGACTGATAAAAGGGTTTTAACTTAATGGTAGTTAAGCAAAATCATCTTTAAAGAGCCTGGCTTGCTTCTCCTATTACAGTAAGGTTATTATAGAAAGTGGCAGTTACATGACCAAGGAGTAGGAACAATATTCATTATATGGGATTACCCACAAATTGAATGAATGAATGAGGAAAAAATTTATAACTAAGTTAATGAAACACTGTTATTAGGAGCCCTGACTGGGCCATATAAATGTTTCAAATAACATCTTACAGTTAACTTCCCACACAATGGGATTCTAAGCTAAATTTTATTATTCTCTGTCAATAATACAGTTACTATACGAAACAAATATTCTTGCAAGGATGAGAGTGATTCTTCAAAAACAAAACCTGGCTGGGCATGGTGGCTCATGCCTGTAATCCCAGCACTTTGGGAGGCAGAGGCAGGTGGATCACTTGAGGTCAAGAGTTCGAGACCAGTATGGTCAACACAGTGAAACATCATCTCTACTAAAAATACAAAAAATTAGCTGGACGTGGTGGGGGGTACCTGTAATCCCTGCTACTCGGGAGGCTGAGGCAGGAGAATTGCTTGAACCTGGGAAGTGGAGGTTGCAGTGAGCCAAGGTTGCACCACTGCACTCCAGTCTGGGTGTCAAGAGCGAAACTTCATCTCAAAAAAAATATAAACAAACAAACAAACAACCCTACATTAACAACGGACTCACTATTACATGGATCTAATTATACTGCAGGCCAGATATTCTTCCATTTCCAATTAAAGTTTCCCTTTAATTCAGAAAGTTACTGCATCTTATTATCCTGGTTCCACATAACCAACAATGAAATAGGTTCTACCAATGAGTTCAATAAGCATTTTTACTTGGCCAAATTTGCTGTATATAAATTTTGCTCTTATAGAAGAAATTAAATCTTCGTGGCTTTATATAATAGGATACTATCTTTAGGTCTGAAAGAATTTGTGAGTACTTAAAAATGACTATATTAGAATTTACAGACACCCAGAACGACTTAGCCCATTATCACATAGTGAAAGACACTTTTGTTGAGAATACCACTACCCCCTATGAATTGCACCGATTATGGAACAAACTCTAGTATTTTTCATTTAAAGCATAATGAGCTCCTTCTATAAGTTCTTAAAGTTCTGAATATAATAAAAACAAACAAAAACCTTAGTTTTCAGGTACAAGGTAGTTCCCACTATTGAACCTTATAGTTATTTTGATGATGATTCTAAAATAATATATAATTACATGGTTTGGTAATTAGTATCATTTCAGATAATAATGCTCAGAAAAGCAAACAACCTTGAAACCAAGTATTCATATCAGGAAATTACATCTATCTGATGTAATAGTGTATTTCATGCTAGTAAAATACCATTTACTCTATGTGTTTGTTTATACATAGGAAAAACTTAGTCTTCACTCAGGAGTAAGGGCAGCTCATAGGAAAAATAATTTATCAATACATAAAGCTTTAATTTTTTTAAAGACTGAAATGAAACATGATCCTAACATTGCAAAACAAACAAAAAAACCCAAAAAAAACCCTCTCCTTGTCATTTTTGTATGCTTAAATGTTAAAATGTCAATAATAGACAAAAAGAATCAGATTTCTTTTCATTTAATTATTCTAATCTTTAATGACATTTTAAATACCTGGTCTCCTGAAGAGAGAGAAAAAAAGTCTTCATCACTGACTTTAAAAAAAAAAAAAAATCCCATAGTTTTTTTTAAAGGATGTTCCTGACAGGAAAGCAAAATATGTTTCGAATAATAAATTGTGTTTTTAGGAATTACGCAAAGTCAAAAGAGGCATGGAAACGGTGAAGGACAAACAAATAAATAGGCTGGGTCCATTAGGACTGTAAAACATAAAGACCTCATTTTTTTCAGCTCTTTTTTGCATTTAATATTCTAAGCACTTTTCGCTTTGGGAGGCCGAGGTGGGCGGATCACAAGGTCAGGAAATCAAGACCATCCTGGCTAACATGGTGAAACCCCATCTCTACTAAAAATACAAAAAATTAGCCAGGCGTGGTGGCGGGTGCCTGTGGTCCCAGCCACTCAAGAGGCTGAGGCAGGAGAATGGCGTGAACCCAGGAAGTGGAACTTGCAGTGAGCCGAGATCGCACCACTGCACTCCAGCCTGGGAGACAGAGCAAGATTCCGCTTAAAAAAAAAAAAAAAATTCTAAGCATTTTTAAAAGCAACAGTATTGGGTTCATTTAACTGTATACAATTAAATTAGTTTCATTTATCCTTTTTCATTAGTTAGCATTAAAAAGGTAAACAATCACTTACACATGGCTCAAAAATTACCTATCAATAACGTGTGCATAAGGCCGGGCACGGTGGCTGTCGCCTGTAATCCCAGCACTTTGGGAGGCCGAGGCAGGCAGATCACCTGAAGTCAAGAGTTCAAGACCTGCCTGACCAATATGACAAAACCCTGTCTCCACTAAAAATGCAAAAATTAGCCGGGTGTGGTGGCATGCACCTGTAATCCCAGCTGCTTGGGAGACTGAGACAGGAGAATCGCTTGAACACGGGAGGCGGAGGTTGCAGTAAGCCGAGATCACATCAGTGTGCATAGATGTATTTAGTAGCATTGGTGGTAAGAACAAACAGAGGAGAGAAAATAATCCCCTAAATCCCACTACTAGATTTGAACTTCAATGATTTGTCTTCATTAGACTTAATATACTTCTGATCCAAATGTTTATTTTCTTTAAATTTCTAAAGTCAATGAATGTTGTTTAATTAGAGAAAATGTGCCATGTGTGTCCTATTATTATTTTTTTCTCAATTTTATCTCAATAACCTAGTTAAAAAACATTCATGTATACCCTGCAATATGCTACATACTGGCAATTACTTCCTAAACTGTTACTGTTTTATACAATATAACAAAGTTCTGAATAAATGGTAATTCTTTTTCTTTTTTCTTTCTTTTTAAAAAAATTGTTTTTGAGACAGGGTCTCACTCTATCACCCAGGCTGGTCCCTAACTCTTGGCCTCAAGTGATCCTCCTGCCTCAGCTTCCCGGGGTGCTGGGATTATATGCATGAGCCACTGCACCCAGCTTGAGCAGTAATTTTTTTTTTTTTTTTTTTTTTTGAGACGGAGTCTCGCTCTGTCTCCCAGGCTGGAGTGCAGTGGCGCGATCTCCACTCACTGCAAGCTCCGTCGCCTCCTGGGTTCACACCATTCTCCTGCCTCAGCCTCCCAAGAAGCTGGGACTATAGGCGCCCGCCACCACGCCTGGCTAATTTTTTTTGTATTTTTAGTAGAGACGGGGTTTCACCATGTTCTCCAGGATGGTTTCGATCTCCTGACCTCGTGATCTGCCTGCCTTGGCCTCCCAAAGTGCTGGGATTACAGGCGTGAGCCACTGCACCCGGCAGAGCAGTAATTCTTAATAAAAATGCATTATTCTTTACAATCTTCACTGAAAAAAACCAATAAAAAGCAGCTTAGATTTTTTAAAAATTAGAAATAAGTCTCAATACTTGACCACATGAGGATTCTCATGCAAGTAGGGAACACTGTCGCCTCTACAGGGCTGGAGAATGATTTTCCAAGGGAGGTCCCTGAGCTGAAGAAATGTGATTTATTTTTACTTAGATGTGATATGAGAGGGAGAAAAGGTAATACTCATTCTGTACCATGAAGCTGAAGTGCCTATTTGTCCCTTTCATTAACTGGGGCAATGTTACTCCATATATATTACTAATTGGAGACTATACCTCAATGTCAACAACTTTAGAAAAATGGTTTTATATTCAAACCCTATTCACTATCCTTATAATCTATGCTGTACCTCTAATGTATCTTGCAAATAATATTATCTTAAAATTAAGTCTCTCTGGTACTTCCTCATTTGTTTACTTATTCAATATATATATTTACTATGCACAAATAAATGCAAGATACATACAAGATGAGTTAGAATAGTGTCCTCAAGAAGACCAAATTCCAGTATAGGAAATAAACATTTATACCCATAAGGGAATATACAATTGCCATAAGAGGTGTGAGTGCTTTAACAGATCAGAAAGCAAAAAAGATCCATTCTGCCCAAGTTAAACTCTGTTGTACTGAAGTGGTCCTTGAAAGATGAGTAGAATTACAAGTAGAGAAGGTAAAAAAGGCATTACAGGCTAAGACGACAGCATGAACCAAGGCAAGAACATTTATGATCTGTTTAGAGACTACAAATGACAGATACTTAAGGTACCTGAGGTAAAATTATAGAATGTGAAGCTGAAAGGTCAAATGAAGGTCAGGCAGCAGAAGGTCTAGAATGAAGTGGTAAAAGTTTTGGATTTTATTTAATAGGCTTCCAATAAAAGAGGAGACAATAAGTAGATTTATTGAAAAATAATAGGCTGGCCATGGTGGCTCATGCCTGTAATCCCAGCACTTTGGGAGGCTGAGGCAGGTGGATCACAAGGTCAGGAGTTTGAGACCAGCCTGGTCAACATAGTGAAACCCCGTTTCTACTAAAAGTACAAAAAATTAGCTGGGCTTGGTGGTGGGCACCTGTAATTCCAGGTACTCGGGAGGCTGAAGCAAGAGGATCACTTGAACCCGGGAGGTAGAGGTTGCAGTGAGCGGAGATTGTGCCGTTGCACATCAGCCGGGGCGACAAGAGTGAAACTCCGTCTCAAAAAAAAAAAAAAAAAAAAAGAAAGAAAGAAAGAAAGAAAGGAAGAAAAATAATTGATGGCAAAATGAGCTAGAGAGACAAGATACTAGAGAACGGAGGACTAATTAGAGTATTTTTGTTTGTTTAGGTAAAAATTGGTAAGAACTTGAACAAAAGTAGAAACAACAGGAATGGAAAAAAATAGGAGAACTGATAGGCTAGATTAATTCAATTTAAGAGAAGAAAAAGATAATCTAATAAATTAAGTTTCTAGGTTATTTGGAAATATAGAAAAAGTAGGTTTGGGGAAGAGGGTAAGTTTTATTTGAAATTTAAAGTCTTGAAATACCCATGTAAAATATCAAATAGGCAGTTAGAAGTTTGAGTTTGGAACACAGGAGAGAGGCTTTGATGGTGATAAAGACTTGGAAGTCATCAGTGCTGAGTAGTAAATGAAGTAATTCAGGAAAGAGTATAAACTGGGAAGAGGACAGAGGACAGGCTCAAGGAACACCCATATTTAAGGACTGGGTAGAAAAACAAGAGAGTATGAACGAGAGTGAGGAGATTATTAGCAGTGACCTTTAAGAGTACATCTCTAGAGTGGTATGTGTAGAGCCAGATTTTCAGCATCAGAACCATCAAGCATTTTGGGGGTGGAAGGAAAAAGAGCCATGAATCAAAAGGCAGGGAAAAGGCCTTTTGGGAGGTGGCGGTGTGGGTAAGGAGTAGGGCTCCGGGTAGAATATATGGATGAAAGAAAGCTGAGCACAGCCATTTCCTTTATAACAGAAATAACAGATTTCCCAGCCTCTAACCAAAGAAGCAACCAGTTTGGGAACATTTCTTCTCTTCTGAAATATGAAAGAGAAGGGATAAATACTGGAGTAGGAGTGTGAAAAAAAAAAAAAAAAAAGAACAGCCCAAGTGCAACAGATACTTCTCCATGGGATGGTAAAAAGGAAGTTATTTCAATAAAATAATTCCTTGGAAGGAGTTCAAAACAGGTTACTATATGCTTTATGTGGAGTTTTAAAAAACATATAAAATAATTCAAGCAAACATGAAATATTTTATTTCACTTATTTATTTACTTTTTTGAGATGGAGTCTCACTGTGTTGCCCAGGCTGGAGTGCAGTGGCATGATCTCGGCTCAGTGCAACCTCTGCCTCCCAGGTTCAAGTGATTCTCCTGCCTCAGCCTCCTGAGCAGCTGGGATTACAGGCGTGTGCCACCACGCCCAGCTAATTTTTAATTTATTTTATTTTATTTTTTTTGAGACCGAGTTTCACTCTTGTTGCCCAGGCTGGGGTGCAATGGCGCGATCTCGGCTCACTGCAACCTCCGCCTCCCAGGTTCAAGCAATTCTCCTGCCTCAGCCTCCCGAGTAGCTAGGATTACAGGTATGTGCCACCACGCCCAGCTAATTTTGTATTTTTAGAAGAGACAGGGTTTCTCCATGTTGGTCAGGCTGGTCTCAAACTCCTGACCTCAGGTGATCTGCCTGCCTCGGCCTCCCAAAGTGCTGGGATTACAGGCATGAGCCACAGTGCCCGGCCATAATTTTTTATTTTTTAGTAGAGATGGGGTTTCACCATGTTAGCCAGGCTGGTCTTGCTCCTGACCTCAAGTGATCCATCCGCCTCGGCCTCCCAAAATGCTGGGATTACAGGTGTGAGCCACCATGCCCGGCCTGAAACATTTTAAAATTTAAATTCCAGTGTATTAATAATGATTATGTACTTGGTCCCTCTTAGATTTATTTTTCTTTTGTACTGCTTTATGTTATTACCTGACGGCTGAATGTATTCTGTACGTGCATCCAGTAATCTTCAACTGGATCATAACAGTATATTGCCTTGGTCAGTCCACCGGCAACATAGATCAGGTTGTTTAGGGATACAGCTGTTATACACCTCTTGGCAATTGGGATAGCTGCACGAAGTAGCCAAGAATTGGTTTCTGGATCATAAGATTGAACCTAATGACATATAAAAATATATAATTAAAATTTCTAAACAAAAATGGAAATGTACTTAATAAAGAGTCTACCAATACCTACAAACATTATTTAAAATAAATAAAATCCTATTAATTCAGAGAGTTAAGAGAGGTTAGCCTGATAGTGAAATGTCTGAATTATGAACATTCTCAAATAAAATGAAAATTTATGACTATCAAGCAGAATAGAGTACCAAACACACAGAGATTGTTTCTAGAATGAATGGCCACCAGGTTTGTCAATTAAATTAACAGTATAAATTTTTTTACAATCGGATAAAATGGATAACTATGCCTCATACCTGAATATAACTTCTTAATGGTTTTAGGGAGTCCTTTCTTCAAAAGAAAACAAGTAAACCTCAATTCAGTCAGTATGCTCAGTATGCTCTGAACTATCACAAATTCTGAATTAATACATTCTAAATAAGCAACATTTGATCACATTATTTTAAACTGAATTTAGAAAAAGAATGAATAGATTGACGACATTCAGTTAACATTGCTAAACCAGCTAGGCATTAGACACTTTTTTCCAGAATAAACATTTCCTGAGATGTCAGGATAGCACGTATTCTTTTGTCCCAGGAGTTTACTGAATCGGAGCAACTTTGAGCCATCCTCTATTTACACTATGGAGGTTTCCTTTTCTTTTCTTTTTTCTGAAAAATACTTCGAAAGAATGTAGAAAATGACCCAGTTGGAAGCAGTGTATTCACCGTGTCTTACCATTTGCTAATTCACTTCCCAACTGTGTTTTGTGTAGTTTTTAGATTCTGTAGATGATAGCAAAGGTTCAGAACAATTTATTCAGTACAAAATCTCCACACAGATCATCTCATTTCAAAAAGATTGGATCACATTTGTTAGAGCAAATTGTTAGATATACTAGAGTGTCACTTAAGCAACCCAGAATTCAATGTTTTTCTCCAAAAGTATATAGTACCAGAAATTTTTAAAAAGAACCCTCACACTAAGCGACCTGGCTACCTACTTGATAAGCCTTCTGTATTTCCCTTCTTGTACTTATCATTGGTAATTTCTTTAAAAGTGCATGGCTTACCTTATCAGAACAAGTATTATCATCAGGTCCTCCACCAATCACAAACAGTTTGCCTACACAGCTAGTCACTGCAGGAGAGCTCACTGCTTCCTTAAGGGGAGCAACTTCAGTCCATCGATTTGAAAAGGAATCATAACATTCTACGCTGCTAAGTCTGTTTTGCCCATCATAGCCTCCAACAACATATACCTATATGTAAAATACACATGGAAAAATCTTAATTATCAAAAGTCTGAATTTTGAAGTAGGTGGTTAAAGAATTAAGGGATCTCTTCTCTTTAAAATGCTAAATAAATATAATTGTAATATATTTAGCTCAGAGTTTCTGAGCTTTTTTAAAAATCATCATCCCCCTACCACCATCACAATCCAGGGAGCCTTTTTAGGTATTTTATTCCTAATAGTCTTCCCTCCATAAAATTTTAATGCCACAAATAAATTGTGTATCTATTTACCTTAATGTATGTATAGCTGTGCTTTATACATGAAAGAGTACATGTTTTTTTTTTCACCTTCTAAGAACCAATCTTTGCTCCCTTGGGGGTAATATTGCTCACACTGAGAATTGTACAATTTAGCTTAAATATTCACACTTATGGGTAATGAAATACTTGATTATTATAAAGTATTAAAACTCTGAAACTAAAATATTAGGAAAAAATTACTAGACTATGACAGTGCTGAAGGCAGGCCTATCTTTTAGCCCCTACAATATCTAGAAAAGTACTTGACACATAATGAACTCTAAAGTTCACAGAGCTTTTATGTACATTTTCTTTTCACAAATACAAGAAGGGTAGGGCAAATTAATATCTTTATATGACAAGTGAACCAATCAGTAAGATATTTATTAAATGGTTTATATGCAAAATATCCATTAAGCATTATGGTTTATATAGGGAACTTTCAACCTAACAAAGCTCTCCAGCAGCTTAACATCCACATTTCTCTCTCTCTCTTTTTCTCTTTTTGGAAATGGGTTTCATTTTGTTGCTCAGGCTGGAGTGCAGTGGTATGATCACAGCTCACTACTGCCTCAACCTCCCAGGTTTAAGTAATCCTTTCACCTCAGCTTCCCAAGTAGCTGAAACCACAGGTGTGTATCACCACACCCTACTGATTTATTTTTATTTTTCATAGAGACAGGGTCTCCCTCTGTTGCCCAGGCTGGTCTCTAACTCTTGGCCTCAAGCCATTCTCCCACCCTCAAGCAATCCTCCTGCCTCGGCGTCCCAAAGTGTTGGGATTACAGGAGTGAGCCATCACGCCCAGCTCACATCTCTCTTAATGGACTGTCCTCATTAACTCTTCCCTCCATAGCTAATTAACTGCTAAGTCTTCTTCCACAGCATCTTTCACATCTACCCCTTCCTTTACGTTTCCCGCTGCCATCACCCACTGGAGGGTCCACAACACTTCATACCTCTCAAATAACCTCCTGGCCTCCATGCTTGTTCTCTCTAAACCAGAGATTATTCTTCCTAAAAAAAACACTTTATCAATTCCTCTTAATATTTCAACAATGAATGTCTAAGGGTCAAGGCCAAACTTCATACCTTGTCATTCAAATTTGTCCACAATTTATCTTTCTGTGTGCCCCCAAATTTCCACAGTACTCAATGCCACTTATATCATGCATTTCTCACATTATGTTAAAATAATCTGTTGGTGAGTTTGGGTCCCCAGCACCACTCAGCTCGACAGGTTAAGTAACTTACAAAAGCTATATGGAGTATATACACAGCTATATGGAGTATGGAACCTGTGGCACGATGTAGCAATTAAGGGCACAGGCTTTGGTCACCAGCTCTGCCATCTAATGTAAGGGCAATTTATCTACCCTTTTGGAGACTCAAATTTATTTCCTCAATTTTATAATTTTTTTTTTTGAGACAGAGTTTCGCTCTTGTTGCCCAGGCTTGAGTGCAATGGCGTGATCTCGGCTCACTGCAACGTCCACCTCCTGGCTTCAAGTGATTCTCCTGTCTCGGCCTCCTGAGTAGCTGGGATTACAGGTACCTGCCACCATGCTCGGCTATATTTCCTCAATTTTAAAATGCAGACAATAATAGTATCTATCACATGGCATAATTTTGAGGATTAAACTTTAATACATACTCCTAAATGTGTAAATTAAAATATAATACATGCCATGAGCATCAAGATAAAATGCCTCTAGATTAAGAAAAGTTTGAGTTTTTGCCTCTGCTTTCTCATTTTTTGTGTAATCTTGGGAAGTGACTTAATCTCTTTGGGGTTATTTATAAGATGACCAAGTTACATGAAATACTCTCCATTATTCCATCATCCCTTCCTACTCTAAGATTTTTTTTCTTTTTTCTTTTTTTTTTTTTTGACAGAGTTTCACTCTGTCACAGGGCTGGAGTGCAGCGGTGTGGCTCACTGCAACCTCTGACTCCCAGGTTTAAGCGATTCTGCCTCAGCTTCCTGAATAGCTGGGATTATAGGTGCCCATCACTTTGCTCAGCTAATTTTTTGTATTTTTGTAGAGACAGGGTTTCACCATGTTGGCCAGGCTGGTCTTGAACTCCTGACCTTGTGATTCACCTGCCTTGGCGTCCCAAAGTGCTGGGATTACAGGTGTGAGCCACCACACCCAGTAATTTTTTATTCTTTCTTGAAGATTACAGCCTAAGACACACTTCTAAGTTACCTTGGGGAGTGCTCCCCTAAGATTCTACATTCTAAACCATCCCAGGTTTCCTTAAACTGAGTATTTGTAAATTTAAGTATGTTTTATAAGCTTGAATTAAATTTATATTGTAATTTTAGCAAAATGGCTTCCATGAATTGAGCACTTGCTATGTAGGATAGGAATGATTCCTTTACTTTATTGATTTAGTGCTTCTAAGCTTTGGGTATCTTCAACTCAAGTATACTATTTTGTCAAATAAATTTGAGTTTACCAATATATACATGGTTTTTGAGACATTAATACTTTTCATTTGCCTTTGTATGTCCAAACTAAATAATTATAAATTTTTAAGTCAGATAGCATCTCCTTCCAACCCCTGGATTATTTTAGCCCCTCTTTTCCAGTAATATTTTATCCTTCTTGAGGCACAGTCTCAAACACTATATATAATACAGTAGGTACTGACAAACCAAATGGTTTTAGAAAAGATTCTATTAACATGTTATTTCCAGTAAATCTGTCTCAAGGTCCTCATTATTTCATTGGCCATGTAGACAACAGCAGCACACTAGATCCAGGGCGTTAGGAATTAACAGCTTTTAAACTGTGTTTTGAGCTGGGCATGGTGGCTCCTGCCTGTAATCCCAGCACTTTGGGAGGCTGAGGCAGGAGGATCACTTGAACCCAGGAGTTTGAAACCAGCCCAGGCAACAGGATGAAACATCATCTCCACAAAATATGCAAAAATTAGCTGGGTATGATGGTGTGTGCCTGCAGTCTTAGCTACTAGGGAGGCTGAGGTGGAAGGATCACTTGAGCCCAGGATGTCGAGGCTGCAGTGAGCCATGATTGTGCTGCTGCACTACAGCCTCAGCAACACAGCAAGACCCTATCTCAAAAAATAAAAACATAAACTCTGTTTTGAGAAGCTCTAGTATTCTACACAGTGGTCCCCAACCTTTTTGGCACCAGGGAGCAGTTTCATGGAAGACAATTTTTCCACAGGTCTGGGTGGGGGACTGGTGGTGGTGGGATGGTTTGGGGATGTAACTGTTCCACCTCAGATCATCAGGCATTAGCTTCTTCTCATAAGCAGCTACAACCTAGATTTCCCTCATATGTGCTGTTCATGCTCCTATGAGAATCCAATGTGTGCTGATCTGACAGGAGGTGGAGTTGAGGCAGTAGAGCTCGCTCAGTGGCTGCTCACCTACTGCTGTGAAATTAGGTTCCCAACAGAACACTGCCTGCAGTGGCACAATCTTGGCTTACTACAAACTCCGCCTCCTGGGTTCAAGCGATTCTCCTCCCTCAGCCTCCCGAGAAGCTGGGATTACAGGTGCCGGCCACCACACCTGGCTAATTTTTGTATTTTTAGTAGAGACAGGGTTTCACCATGTTGGCCAGGATGGTCTAGATCTCTTGACATCATGATCCGCCCACCTTAGCCTCCCAAAGTGCTGGGATTACAGGTGTGAGCCACCGCGCTCAGCCTAGTATAAAGGTTTTAAGAAACCTGTGTGAGGAAAGAGAGGAAGGAGGACTAATAAGAGGCTGACCAAGAAAGGTTCCTGATCACCATTTCTGTTTCAACTAGAGCTTTGTTTTTTCAGTGGTGGTACTTAACTGTCTCCATAGGAAGGCCTATGAGACAGCAATCTGTTTAGAAGGGGGTGCTAGGAGATCAGTAGAAGACATATGCGAAAGCAAGTATGCTGCTTTTAGTTGTTCATTAATTTGAGGTGGTTTTGGACGAGCATATGGAGATGGGGGCAGAGAGAAGCTAAAGACTCTAAGGTAATCCTTGGTACAACTGCTGTATTTTCATCTGTTATGTAATAAATTTTTGTATTAGATATGACTTTTTAAAAGAGAGTATACAGGTTGAACTTCCCAAATCCTAAAAAATCTGAAATCCAAAATGTTCCAAATCTGAAACTTTATGAGTGATGACATTAATGCTCAAAGGAAATGCTCATTGGAACATTTCAGATCTTGGATTTTTTGATTTGGGATGCTCAACAAATACAATGAAAATATTCCACAATATGAAAAAAATCCAAAATATTTGGCCTGGTGCAGTGGCTCATGCCTGTAATCCCAGCATTTTGGGAGGCTGAGGCAGGCAGATCACTTGAGCCCAGGAGTTCGACACCAGCCTGGGCAATATGGAGAAACCCCATCTCTACAAAAAATACAAAATTAGCCAGGCATGGTGGTGTGCACCTGTGGCCTTGGCTACTTGGGAGGCTGACGTAGAAGGGATAGTTTGGGTCCAGGAAGTCAAGGCTGTAGTGAGCAGTGATGGCACCACTATACTCCAGCCTGGGCAATAGAGTGAGAACCTGTCTAAAAAGAAAAGAAAAAAAAAATCCCAAATCAGAAACACTTCTGGTCCCAAGCATTTTGGAAACTCCACCTGTAGTTGTTTTTAAAAAGTTTGCAAACTGGCTAGGTGCGGTGGCTCATGACTATAATCCCAGCCTTCTGGGAGGCCGAGGTGGGAGGATCACTTGAGCTCAGGAGTTGGAGATCAGCCTGGCCAACATGGCGAAACCCTGTCTCTAAAAATACAAAAATTAACCAGGTGTGGTGGCGAACACCTGTAATCCCAGCTACTCAGGTGTCTGAGGCAGGAGAATCACTTGCACCGGGAAGGCAGAAGTTGCAGCAAGCTAAATAATGCCACTGTACTCCAGCTTGGGCAACAGAGTGAGACCGTGTCTCAAAAAACAAAAAGAAAGTTTGATTCTCAGGTTCCTACAGACAGTAGATGGTTCAGAACCCAAGTAACGTATTGTTTATAATAATCATTAGCTGCAGTCAAGAATAGGTTTTCTTTAAAAATGTGAGTTTTTAAATTTAAATTTAAATTTTTTTTGAGATGGAGTCTCGCTCTGTTGCCAGGCTGGAGTGCAGTGGTGCGATCTCGGCTCACTGCAACCTCCGCCTCCCGGGTTCAAGCAATTCTCCTGCCTCAGCCTCCTGAGTAGCTGGGACTACAGGCGCACGCCACCACACCCAGCTTATTTTTTGTATTTTTAGGAGAGATGGGGTTTCACTACATTGGCCAGGATGGTCTCGATCTCCTGACCTCATGATTCGCCCGCCTTGGCCTCCCAAAGTGCTGGGATTACAGGCGTGAGCCACCGTGCCCGGCCTGTTAGTGAGTTTATCTTAATATTTATTTAAAATAAAAAAGATAAAATACATGACTTTGGATAAATATATCTCTGCCTGACTGGCAAAGTTAGTAAAAAGAAAACAAACTGCAAGGGTTAGACATTGGCCTGTCTGTATCTGATGTAACTCCTTTATTTTCCAATGCTTCTTAGGCATTTGGACTCCAGTGATGCATGAGAAGAGAAATGTGCTGCACTGCCATGAATTCCAAATTAGGAGAACAAAATATCCATTCAAAAGTACAGTGTCATATTGTTTATATCTTTGGTTTATCTATTGAGGTTAGAAATGGAAGGAAATACAATTTGAATCCAAAATACCCAGAGGGTGAGTAAAATGAAAGATTCAGCTGTGGTATTTACTTTGGAAATGTACCAGCAATAGTAATAAAAAGTGGTTTCTCTTACTTTACCAAGGAGGACAGCCATTTTGTGACGCCATCTGCCTTTATTGAGAGAGGCAACTCTGATCCAAATATTTAACTGTGAGTTATAAATCCAGACATCACGGCTGTTGATTCTTCCACCTTTAAATGCAAAACAATGTACACACAATAATTTATCACAATATAGCTGTCACCAAGAGATCTGTGCCACCAAGGCATAGGTAAAGAAAACATGGAATTCATTCATCTAATTCAAGAATTTGAGAATTCAGCTCAATAAAGACCTCTTGAAGTTTAATGGAAATAGTTCTACAGAGCAAATTTAAACTTTACCAATTGTTATCTTGATACGTGATAATTATAGATCCAAAATAATAAAATACAGGATGTGAATTTTACAAACATAAAACATTATTAGTTTAAGAGTAAGACATCGGAAGCACCCAAATAATGGTATTATTCTAAAGGTTTGTTCTTTAAATCACCCATTTTTCAAAAAGCATACTATTGTGAAAAATAAAGTATGTATTGTTATATTTCTCAGTGTGGATAATATATACAATAATCTGCAAAGCTGGTGAAATTATTTTACCAATTAACAGACTTCCCATCATAGACACTATAGTTATACTTTGTATAAGTCTGTCATTTTATTTTCTAATTTTAAAGGTAACATATCACATATCATAAAGAAGTTCAAGTTAAGAATTTTAAAGCAAATCTTATTTCATAAACTTTGGGGAGAATTTCAAAAACATGGGTGAATTAGAGATGCTTAATTCTACGAGTACTTCTGACATGCAAAGAGGTAACGTTTAAAAAATTATAGCATATTCTACATGCATTTGAGAGCATTTAAAATATGACATGATTAAAGGCATTTTCTGGTGGATCTTTTGTAAATCATTCCATGTCATCTTGTACCTGTTTGTGTTTTTTTTGTTGTTTTTTTTTGTTTGTTTTTTGTTTTTGAGACTGAGTCTCACTTTGTCACCAGGCTGGAGTGCAGTGGCGCAATCTCGGCTCACTGCAATCTCCACCCCCTGAGTTCAAGCGATTCTCCTGACTCAGCCTCCCAAGTAGCTGGGACTACAGTTGCCCACCACCACACACGGCTAATTTTTTTATTTTTTTAGCAGAGATGGGGTTTCACCATGTTGGCCAGGATGGTCTCGATCTGACCTGGTGATCTGCCCGCCTCGGCCTCCCAAAATGTTGGGATTACAGGTGTGAGCCACCGTGCCTGGCCTTGTACCTGTTTTTAAGAGCAAAAAGTCATGCTTGGTTTTATTTGTTGTAAACTGATCTTCCTAAAGTGGGAGTATTCACATTTTAAGACACTGTGGATGTTTAAAATAATGAAGCTGTGTCCAAATTAAAAGTAGCTACTGTAATAATTCTACATTTACCTGAAACAAGAATGTCATTCCTTAGAGCACAGACTGCATACTCTGATTTGGTAAATTCTGGAAGCTTAGCCAAAGACTTCCATTCTCCTGTTACAGGATCATAGCACTCAGTGTATGGAAGATTAAATCCTCCAACTCGCTCACATCCTCCAACGACAACTATCACCTCAGAATAGCCAGTGGACCTAAAATAATAATAATTAGTGTACATAAATAATATTACATTAAAATATTCTCAAGATTTTTTCTTAAAACTCTAAAAACAAACCACACACTATTATAAACAGTTAAGTTTCTTCTCTGTGCATGTGCCAAACAGTACAGGCTGGAAATTACTTACTTTGAGAACCTTTACAGGGGAGCTAGTGACATCATTATTCCACAGAAAATTTCTGTTGGTATTTTTTACTATTGGTTTTGACCTGAAAATTGTGAAGCAGTCCAAAAATCCTATCTAACCCAATCAGAACCCTGGGAATATTAAGGATGACTTTCAAATGCAGTTTTGCAGTGATTCAGATATGCATAACCACACAAGGGAAGATAATGCATTTTTTTCTAACTGTAGGAAAATGGTGCTTTTTCATCAGCTTGCTAGTTCTAAAAAATTAATTCATAGTATAATTCAAGCACCCTTTAAAGGAATATGTATATGTACTTGTTTAGAAATTAATATTTAAAATACAAAGTCAAGTAAATTAAGGTAATCCAACTCAAAATATTGGGTAATCACTAAAAAGGCTAACAGAGTTTATAACAAAGAATGTTAAAGGAGAAAAGCACGATGAAAAATTGTACATTAGGCATGTTCAATACTATCTAAAAAGTGTATCTGGAAAGAATATACCAAAATGCTAAAGATAGTTGTCTCTGAATTGTGTGGCTCCCCCCATTTCTCTCATTACAAATTTCCAAACCAATAATGAGCCTGAGCTATTTTTAGAATGCAAAAAACAGCTTTTAACACCACTAAAAGAATTCTAATGTTTATGTTAATCACTAGCTTCTGTCATTTTAAAAATTTAAAATAGAGACAGGAATAACCAAAAGCTTATCCACAATTTTTTTGTTCTTAAGGTTCAATTGATAGTTTAGGAATTTTAAAATTATTTAGCTTTTATATTTTTCACAAATATAATCTAAATGAAAATGTTTCATATTTACATTTTATGGTTGCTACAAGTTAAGTCTCACAAGAAAAATGCCAACAATCCTTCTTCTCTTACTTAAATATAGAGGGGGAAAAAAAAACCCACATCAGAACACTGATTTGTAATTTTAGTCAGTGTGCTGTTACACAATTACAGTAGGAAAAAAACAAGTAATACTGGCGCGTCTCTTTTAACAGAGCTATTCTAGCTATATTTACTCAGAGCTATGTCAACTAACCAAATCACTTACCTATTCTATGCCAGGCATACTTTTTCCATTATAAAATCAGAAATACATATGGGAGAAAAGAATTCTCTCCATACATGCAACCAAAAGTACTTTTAGGAATCCAGGAAATTATATAACCTTTACCTAGTATTCAGTAAAACATTAACAGAAGGACCCAAATATTATCAGTAATATTTACTATTTTCCAAGTAATTCCAAAATAAAAATATTAAAAATAAAGAGAGCACAGCGCCAGATACTTCAGTAGTGTAACTACTGATTTATCATTCTTTCCATTAAGTATCATTTCCTAAAACACACTTAAAATCTAAGACAAATCATCAAAAAAAGGTGATATTCCTCAAAGTCTTATTTATTGGTTAATCAAAACGAACACTGTTAGTCACTGAAGTTAAATCACTTCTAACTGTCTTAATATAAAATCCAGAGTAATGATTATATATCATAGGATATTGTTTTATCCTTTCCTTATTGCACATTACTTGGTTTATACTTTCCCTTTTTTTAACTTGCTTGCCTTTTTCAAGACTTCTTAGCCCGATAAACATATGTTATCTGTTTTTGTACTTTGGAACAGAAAGAGAAAACAGCATGAAAAGCTAATTGCTAAAATATTTAGTACCAATAAATAAAGGGTAACTTCAATGTCTGCTAGAACGTGTGTCTATCTGAAAGGATTAGCAAGCTAGTAGTTTTACTTGTATTAAATATACTATTTGCAACCAAATGGCTTTTAGCTATATCTGATGTTCTCATCAGAGACTGTTAACCCAATAAAAGCATTATTTCTTGAGCTTGGAGAAATACTTATCTCAGGCAGAAAGCTAATGGCTAAGTTAAAGGAAATAGGTTACTCCAGCTGATAATGGCAAGTAAAACAAAATGGCAGGCAAGATGATAGTATAGCATAAATAAAATTTTGGATACCCATGTAATCTGTTTCTAGAGTGAATGTCATGTCACTGTATTTCATTAATTCTTTTTTTTTTTTTTAATAGAGACAAGGTCTTACTCTATTGCCAAGGCTAGAGTACAGTGGCGAGATCGTGGCTCACTGCCACTCCAACTCCTGGCTGAAGTGAGCCTCTTGCCTCAGCCTCCCAGGTAGTTGGGACTACAGGCACATGTCACCACATCTAGTGAATTTAAATTTTTTTTTTTTGTAGAGATGAGGTCTCACAATGTTGCCCAGGTTGGTCTCAAACTCAATTGCTCAAGTCATTCTCCTGCCTTGGACTCCCAAAGCACGAAGATTACAGCATGAGTCACCATGCCCAGCTTCATTAATTCTTTAAAGTAAAAAATCCAGGCCGGGTACAGTGGCTCATACCTGTAATCCCAGCACTTTGGGAGGCTGAGGTGGGCGAATCATGAGGTCAAGAGATCGAGACCATCCTGGCCAACCTGGTGAAACTCCGTTTCTGCTAAAAATACAAAAATTAGCTGAGCATGGTGGCGTGCGCCTGTAGTCTCAGCTACTCGGGAGGCTGAGGCAGGAGAATTTCTTGAACCTAGGAGGTGGAGGTTGCAGTGAGTCGAGATTGCGCCACTGCACTCCAGCCTGGCAACAGAGACTCTGTCTCAAAAAAAAAAAAAAAAAAAAAAAATCTGATTTTCTGCTATGATGCAATAACAAATATTTGTTACTTTAGTATTAATTCTCTCCATTTACTTCTAGGAAAGTGTGATGACCAAATTATCCTTTTTACAATGGTAATACATCTTTTAAAAATCTTCTTTTATCATAAATTTGAGAAAATATCAAATTAAAAGTTCATGTTCTTTGATTTACATGAAAGATAAAACAATCATAAATCCACAGGATAGGGCTGGGCGTGGTGGCTCACGCCTGTAATCCCAGCACTTTAGAAGGCCTAGGCGGGCAGATCACGAGGTCAAGAGTTCAAGACCAGCCTGGCCAACATGGTGAAACTCCCACCTCTACTAAGAATACAAAAATTATCTGGGTGTGGTGGCAGGCACCCGTTATCCCAGCTACTCGGGAGGCTAAGGCAGAAGTCCTTGAACCCAGGAGGCGGAAGTTGTAGTGAGCCGAGGTTGTGCCACTGCACTCCAGCCTGGGTGACAGAGTAAGACTCCATCTCAAAAAAAAAAAAAATTCCACAGGATATTCTAAACCACATTTAAAAATGTAGTAATTATTGGATTCAATTTAAATATCTTGAAAGGTAAAATAGAGGAATTGCTGGCTGAAATAACTGACCTACTTATAATTAATGCCAAATATGCTAGACATGAGGAGTGCCAAAAAAAGTGTTGAAAAGTGATCCTGGCTAATAAGAATATCTGAATATATATTTTTAAAACATATACAATAGGAAAGGAAGTATGTCCATGTAGTATGAAATTGGGGAGGAGAAGGGAGAGATATTAGTGATATAGTCTGTTCACTATTCTAAAACCCAGAAATACCTGAAAATCAAACCATCAAATCAAAATAATGAACTAAAATAGAGATACGAGATTTTAAGCCTTAAAGAGACAGAATGGTTCTCTAGTCTTTAAGATATGACAGTTACCAAACTCAGTGTATTAATTTATCTAAAAGAGACTATGCATCAAAAAAGGGGAGGTCAGCTGTAGAAGCAATAAGTAAATGAATAAAGAAATGAATCAAAGAGTAAATGATAATCACAGAGGCAAACATTTGCTGTGCCCATTCAGGTTATTATCTAAGGGAGAGACAATCTAAGCTAAGCTACCTAGAATAGTATTGGTCTTTTGGCAAGAATGTTTTGATGGTGGGTGAGACTTCCTCAAGCTATATACTAGCTGAGAGGACTTCAGTTCTAAAGGTCTGCTAACTCTGAATTCCATGCTTGCCAAATGACCTTTGAAAACTTGGGCTTCCCATGTAGTGACTTGTCCATAGTTAGAGAATATTACCGGGCAGATTGACTTAAAATAGGTAGCCTGCTTGTTAATTCCATTTCTTATTGCAAACAGATATATACAGACTAGGAGATGAGTTAATTAGTCTGTCATACTTAATGTTAAATCTGCCTCTAATAGTCTGATCTACTGTATAAAAAGAAAAAGTTCCTGAGCCTAGAGGTGCTTGTTAATTCCATTTCTTATTGCAAACAGATATATACAGACTAGGAGATGAGTAATTGGTCTGTCATTCTTAATGTTAAGTCTGCCTCTAATAGTCTGATCTATTCTTACTGTATAAAAAGAAAAGGTTCCTGAGCCTAGAGGAATCACTGGATCATGGTGAATTCACCAATATAAATGACCCCATTAGACACTTACACCAGCCATAAGCCTTAGAGCTTTTTTTTTTTGAGACGGAGTCTTGCTCTGTCACCCAGGCTGGAGTGCAGTGGCACGATCTCAGCTCACTGCCAGCTCCGCCTCCTGGGTTCACGCCATTCTCCTGCCTCAGCCTCCCAAGTACCTGGGACTACAGGAGCCCACCACCACGTCTGGCTAATTGCTTTTGTATTTTTAGTAGAGATAGGGTTTCACTGTGTTAGCCAGGATGGTTTCAATCTCCTAACCTTGTGATCCGCCCGCCTCAGCCTCCCAAAGTGCTGGGATTACAGGCGTGAGCCACCGCGCCAGGCCAGAGCTTTTAAATTTGGTTGAGGACACAGTATCAATTTGTGTGGTAAGGCTTTCCACCTGAAACTGTAATAGGTAGGACTGCTTCTATATGAAAATGGCTATATTGATCAAAAGACTCAAAATGCCAACTTTTCAAAACTGGCAATTATCTAAGAATTTATCATCAGAAACTAATCATAGACATGCTTAAATA